TCAAATATGAGTAGACTTAAAGACCACGGCAGTTAGTGGAAACCTGTCAGCTGACATTGATACTCAAACCCTTAATTATTTCCTTCTAAGGTAAGACAAAAAGAACAAATTCCACATATTATATAGCAGGTCATAGATTGTTAGGTGAATGGCAGGATCTGGAAAAGGGTTCTCATGATCTGTGTGGCACCCAGTTGCTGGTGCTCATATCAACCCATTTCTTGTCCTAACAATGTAATTTGCCCTCAGCCACCATACCTCTCTGATCAAAGATGGCCATTAAGTCATAATGGAGCTCTCATGAAAATATACAAAGCAGGATCAGTGTTGCCCCAAAAATCAAATGTATTTTGCAGCCACAAGTTCTATCAAACACCTGGCAGGGGTTACAGAATCATAGAATCATAGAATGGTTAGAACTGGAAGGGACCTTAAGGATCGTCGAGTTCCAACCCCCCTGCCATGTGTTAGAACCTTAAGTGTTATGATTGGAGATCATCAGAGTTTTCCTAGACAAAAACTTCTTCAACAACAAGAGATGAACTGAACCCCCAGTTAGTGTATACTCAGTGAACACTGGGAGGCTGAAGACAAGGTTCACAGGGACTCTGCCTGGACACTTGGCACATCTCCAGGGACTCCTGCACTCACAGGATCCAAGGTACGTTTCTAGTGCTTTCAAGACGTGCTGTTTGGAGACAGTCATCCACGGAGCTGAACCAAGGGTCTTAAAGCTCTTAATCTGACTGATCTCAAGCTCTGCAGCAGAGAGCCTGGAAATTTCTGAAACCTTTCTTTTAATGGAGTCTCTCTGGATGGCCATGTGCTCTCCTACGGGAGCAGGGTTGGATTCTGGGAGTCCTCTCCAGAGCAGTGGACATATCGGTGGAGCCAGCTGGTCTGAGGCTCAGCACACTATCAGTCCCACCAAGAAGCAGTCTGCAGAAGTGTGCAGGAAGGGAAAGACAGGACTAATAGCACAACCACCAGCCAAAGAAATCCTGTTCTTAAGCAGCAAGGATCATGAGATGCAAGCCCAGGTTTGTCAGTACCCTATTTCAATCATTCTACAATCATTTTTTTCAATTGGTTCACAACTTCAAAAGTTTTGTTCCTGTTTGACTCATAAATATGGTGTAAAGATTATGTCTGGTTTTTTATGGAGCTTTTTGAAAACTGGAAATACTGTGTTTTCAGCTGTGGCAGTTGCAGACTAATCCATCCACTAATGGCTACAATATAACTTTGTTTTTCTGCACTCATTTTGTTGTCTCTAGCTGGTATTTCTCATTGTAATGTTCAATTTGTAACAGGACTACCCTTCAGCTTATTTGTGTTCATGGCTAGCCACAATAGGGCCCTGTTTCGTACTTCTGTTGAGGTAAAGCCCAAGGCTCTCAAAAAGAAATAATAATAAATGACATGACACAACTGTGCTGAGTCACACCTTTTTAAAGCCCAGCTCTTTTTGAGGGACACAAGAGCAAAGATAAAAACAGCCACAGGCGGCAAAGAGCCCCTTCTGAAAACAGCTCCTGGTAACTCATTCAAGTCAGTGGTCATAAAGAACAATAGCACAGCTGTTAGATAAATGGGATGCTTACAACTGCGCACAGAAAACCTAAAAATTTCAGCAACAAACCCATTAGCCTTTACTACATGAGTGGTACAGGACCTGCTGTTTCAGTAATGCTCTGCTGGGTCACATAAAACCTGTAGAGAAAACAGAGAGAGGTCTGGCATCCATCCATTCCTCCATCTGTCTGAGGGCAGCTGGGAAACTGCCCCCATCAGTCCTCAGACTCAGGGATGCTCTAACGCTACATCCAGTGCCAGTATATGAGAAGTGTTCACAAGCCTCAGTTTTGCAATGAATGCCTTATATCATCTCTCATTAACAATTAAATAAAAGCTCTATTTTTTACAGCTGTTTCAATCAGCCTGCTCCTAGGATATATGTTCCCGAAATAGCGAAATCACAGATGATCAGCACCACTTCTGGATCATCTCATCAGCCTGTGACCTTACCCAGCACAATTCTTTTCACCAGGAATTTAAAAACTGTTTTCTACCACATTCCAGTGCCATCAATAACCCATGGCTCTATGCAAGACAGTGGAGAACATAGTCTGAAAAATACGCAGTGTATGTTAAAATCACATCAGTTGGGACACATCGCAACACAAAGCGAAGATATCATGAGCCTGGAACTACAGATTTTTTCCTAGGGTTTTGTTTTGGGCAAGGTGATTTTTTCCCTACACTAAATAGTCCTTCAAATATGTTATGACTTTAAAAAAAAACAACCTAGGAATGAATGAATTAGATTAAGTCCTTGCACTTAGTTAATTTCCATGATCTAATATTCCCCTCATGTTCCAACACAGCTCTGTTCTCTGCTGACGATGTCAGGGATGAGGAAGTCTCTTTGAAGGCGGTTTCAATTCAAGGGCAAGGCAGACCAGAGACCACTTATTTCCCCAGACAAAGTATACTCAGTTTAGTGTGCTTGTGGGCGAGCCAGAAACTGTAACAAGAAAGCTTAGGAAACCAAGTCCCCTTGGATATAGATGATCAATAATGTTCTTGACAAAGTTGAAAACAGTTCGGAACATGGTGTCTCACCAACTTGTACTGTAATGTTTTAGTGTAGTTACTGTGGATCTCATTTCTGGCAATATCTTGAAACAGCAATCAATACTTGCCTAGGGTACACTTTCCCTGCCATTTACTCTGTTATCCAGCCAGTGGCAACAGCAATCATTTAAGATTGACCTAGCACTGATATGTTGCTAATGATGAGCATCTACTGTATGGGCAATAAGGATCAAGACCCTTCCATGCTGGATACTACAGAAGAAAAGATGCTCAAATTGCTATAGCACCTGAAGAAATTTTGCATAAAATTAGTAGCAACAGGAAAGTCATGAGTGAGCTTCCTCCCCTCTCATCCTGCAAATAAAAATATTACTACAAAGATAGTAGACACTAAAAAGAAGTGGACGATCTATCAAGTGGGCTGATCTTGTATGGAGGAAAAAAGAGAGGCAAATATTTTAACAGTATGGGGATTAGGGTTCTGTGGCAGCAAGGTAAAAAAAAGTTGATTTTGTGGGACTGACTTCTGATATGTTCTCTGATATTGTTTTTGTGTGGGTCTGTATTTGATGTTTGCCAAAACATGTCAAAGTGTGAGACGTAAGATTTTGTTTTATGTCCAAGTACTATGAAGGAAGTAAAGCAAACCAATCCATCAATCTAGTGGCTGACATTTAACCTCCTTTCTCCCTTAGAGTTGCATGTGTCTGCTTCTCCTGCACTTCTGAGAAACTGTGAACTGTCTCATCCCCAGGAAACACAACAAATCTTAAATTGCAGAGACAAAAAGCCTTATTGAACATTTGGGAAATGCTCTGAGCATCACTGCCCATCTCCTGCAGCAAAACACTGCAGCAGGGACAGACACGGAAATGACTGGCAGAGGGATCTTGCAAAATCCATGTAGGACCCAATATGACTGTTTCTTTGACTGGGGGAGCTGAACACAGGAACACACTGAGAAAAGCACTGCGGTCTGCTGGATGTGATGGCATTACTGAATACTGAGTAGTTGCAAGAACAGGGCACATGCAGCAAGAGGAAAACAAACCTATCATCTGAAATAATGAAGTTAAGTTAAATCTATGTTCACTGCTTTTCGGGTAAAGAGCAACGCTATTATTGTGCCTAAAGCCAGTCCAAGTTTATGTTTTTCAGATCCTTCTTCACCGAGACCTCAAAAGAACTTCAAAACAAAAAACAACATCTGTATGGTGAAAGACAGAAGATGTTGGACTGAGTAGAGCAGCTTTGCCCAGAAGCTGAGGGCAAGGAAAAGTCTCAGACAAATGAACTATCATCACTGAAATTGGAATTAGCCAGGACACAGCAATAATGTTCAGCCAGCGGCTGGATCTGTATACCCTTTTAAGAGGGTAACTTATTACACTATGATTCATCCAGGTAGCAAACTTGTAAACAAACTCTAGACATTGCCTACACTTGATTTCTTGGCCCAAGGTTTCCCACCTCACTGGCTTGGCTCCACCAGCAGGAGCAGCGCTGGCAGAGCTAAAAGGGATAAGACCCCTAGGATGGTGACACCTTCACCAAGCGACCACTTCCACCCACCAGGCAGAGGACAAGGCACCCTGCAACTCCCTCAGCACTCACAGTCTGCCAGCTGGGTGGTGCTGCAGGTGCATCCAGAAGGTGCTCTGAGAAACAATCCCTGATACCTACCCTGGCTCTAACAGGAAGCAGCAAAGGCAGGATCGAGCTGCATGATGGTGCTTCAGGTCACCTCCCCTGCCACCCCCTGCCTAGGGGACAGCAGCCAGAGCCAAGGGTGTTTCTCACTTCCCTGGGGGAGAAGGAGTGACTGCTGGGTGCAGAGCTCTCCCATCCCTCCCCTTACACTCCCGCAGGCACCCAGCCAGAGGGCATGGTCTGCAAAGCCCACGCACAAGCCCCTTGCACTCTCTAAGTCTCCAAAGCAGAGTCGTGTCAGACTTGCCCATGAAAAAGGGTACAAACTCTCTTGCCTGGGCTCCTCTGGGACACGTGCAGCCCAGGCCCGCAGCAGAAGGCAAACCTGAACTGTGAAAACTGAAAACAGAGAGATTGCTCTCTGCAGCAACACGGTCTGCACCACGTGGATTTTGTCTGTGTGATTTCCTCCAGCTTATCGTCTGATCTGTAGCCTACAGTCAAACCAAACCTTAAGGGTTACAGGTGAAGGAACAAAAAGTGCTTTTGCATCCCTCCTCCTTCCCACTGCCCAGCCTCCTCCCTCACCTGAATCAATCCAAAGTTACAGCAGTAGAATCACAAGTTAAAAAGCAAAAAATAGGGAATATGGAAAAAGGCTGTCATAAAATGAGGTTACTCATACCATTATGAGGAAGCAGGGTGATTATACACACTTTACACAGAACGATAGAAACAATAGGATTACTCACACAATCTCAAAGTCTAATGAGGCGCATCAGTTACACTCCCACAGCAACCTGGAGAAAGAAGGAGAGTAAAACCTGCTGGTTTAGCCTAATAAGGACTTTATGAGAGTCACAGTTAACATGTCATACTTACTTATGGCATGCCACAAGCTTCCTAGGGACAGCAGTCCAGAGTTTCTATATGTGCTCACCAGCACAAGGGAGAGGAGATGGGAGCATATATGTGGCTATTCTTGTAGCCATCTCCAACTCCAGTGTCATCCTTAACACAATTGATTGAGGACATAAGGTAGGTCCAAAATCAAAAGAGGAAGCTCACCTATAGATACCTCGAAACTTTGAAGGATACACCTTATATTTTATTTTAAATAATTGGTGACACACTAAAAAGCCGTTCACATAAAGACAGAAGAGCAGGACAGATCTTCGTTAATGTGCTTCTACAATGACACCTCTTACAAAGAGCTAGCACTGGATCAACTTTACTTGTTTGTGACTGTGAAGGCAGTATCTGTAAATGGTGCCAATGAAAGAGAACATACCATCTGAAATTATACGTCTATAAGATTTTGTAAGACATATTTTTTTAAATAGATTATGTACTACTTCTCTCCTGGATGGAGTTTTTTGTGTGAAATTTAGAAAATGACTGGGAATCTCCTGGGCACAATTCATCTCATTCTATCAGGTCAATCTTCCTCTCCTCGCCCAGCAGGTGTGCAGGAACGGCATGCAGCTGCACTGCAGGTGCCCACAGCAGCTTGAGATGGATCTGTCCCACTTTTCTCAGAAGCTGAGCTTCCTTCACAACTCCTTTTACATACCTGTTTGAACCTTCAGACAACCACAACACTAAAGTAATGCTCTAACTCTCCCTCTCACCAACAAGGAATTACATGTGTATTCAGAAGCCTTCCAGAACAGAGATGACTTCCCACCTGAGACCCACCTCATCCTTGATTTTGTGTGAGATTGAAATAATTTAAAATCAACAGTTCACTTCAGACTTACAAAAATTCTTCAATGCTACTTCCTATCATTTTGACATTTCTATTCTAATGTTAAAAAAAGAGATAAATCTAAAATGCTGGCATAAAAACAAAACATAAAGTGAACATCATGCATTTTAATTGTGTTGAAATAAAACAAATTTTTTCATGAAGATGTTGGTGAAAACATGTTTTTTTGCCATATTTATTTGTGTTGAATCTGCACTTTCTAAGTGTTCATCCAGCCCAAAACTTCATATGCTTTACTTCTATTCCTTTTCAGCAGAAAAGCTTTCCCAATGCTTTTGATGGCACCATGATAACTTCTTTATAGCACTTCTATTTAAAGTTCCCTTTACTTACGTTGAAGACATAATCACATAGCTTATTTTTTTCTCCTTGCCATTAGAGCATTATCATCTTCATAAGAAAGCTGCTTTTTATCTGCTTGGAGCTCTAATCTCAAGGAAAATTAGGCAGAAGATGCCTCAGTTTGTGTTTCCACTCAATTGAGTGCCTGAGCTCTCCAAATGCATAACTGGAACACGGACATGAACCCAAACTTTTTGCAACAAGCCATTGGTGTTTCTGGTTATTATCATGCCTGATGTTACAATACACCCTCTTTTAGGAAAAGAAGTGTTTAATTGACCAAACAAGAAAAACAAATGCTTCCCCAAGGCAAAAATTCCATGAACCGTTTGGATGTTTTCTATGAAGTTAACAAGGACTTCTGTCAGTATTTGGAAGTCTTAGACATAGTTTTTTGAATGGACTGAAGTAAAGAAGAGACAGCTTGAATAGGATTTTACAGTTTCAACATTCTTAAGGACATTCCAGGCTAAAACATTACTTGTTTTAAAACACTAATAAATGAAGTTTTTAGAATAGACTTTATACTCAAACGAAAACAAATCTTAAGTTTTTAAGTTAACAGAAGCTATAATAACAGAAGAATATGGTTGTCTTCTAGACTTAGAGGGAAGGGTGACAGGCCATGCTCTTGAAACCTTCTTTTTAATATATTTACGTTTAATGTGACCCTGCAATCAGACTGCATGATAAGTGCACTTTATGGACTTTTGGGGGCTCAGTGCAGCTTCAGGGATATAATCCACAGGTGATCCAAATACAGGAAAGGAAAAGGATTCAGTTTTTTAATACCAACATTATATACTGACTTCACGCTGACATAATGTAGGTGAACCTAAGACTATGGAGAAGAGGACTAACTCTTGTTCTTCCCAACCAAATGAAAAACATGAAACCAGCATTTTCACTGACAGAAAATAAATTTAAAAAGAGGAAAAAACAAAAACCAACCAAACAAAAAAACCTCTTCAACTTTCCATGGTTTGGGGATAGCAAAACCACTGCAAGCTGGAACTCAGATTCCAAAGCCACTGAATTCTTGCAGGATGTTTCAGCACTGTCCTTAGGATCAATGAATCAAAGACATACCATTGTCTGACACACAAGTTCCCTGTTTTTTTTCCCTTGCTGTTCCCCCTAAGGGGGAGCATTCCAGGAAGGATGTTGTTCTTTACCTAGAAACATGATACAGTGGGCCTGGAAGGAAGAGATACCTGACTGGGATAGGTTTTGGTTACCCAAGAGCTGATGTTTTTCCCATCGTATCTGAGATGATCTATAAGTGCTCTGATGTACATAATTATCTGTAAACTGAATGCATAATGCACCCCATCAAAATATGAGGTGTATAGGTGTGATTTTAAGTTGACTGAAGACAGATAATGTTGTCCCTAACTCAGGAGTTTACTGTGGAAATTCAGATCATATTTAGACCATATTCAGAAAATGAATATGGAATAGTAAGCCTTGTTGCCCAATCTGTACAGTGCTGGGCAGAGTTAAACCTAATGGACTGAATTATTGAATTCTGATTTCCCTAGCGCGTTTTAATTATTTCAGTTTATCTATTATATTTAAGGTCTAAGATTTTAAAATGCCAAATTCAACCAAGAAGTAGTTATGGCATGAGGTTTAGTGACAGAAACTCCTTGATACTTTGGATGTCTGCCAGCTGTGATTATAGTTTTTAATAACATGGGAACTGCTGTAGCCCATTGTGTGTATAACCTGTTGTGAACAGCCCAAAGTTGACCGTCTCCAGTTCAACAAAGGCACATGCCTTTCAACCCTTCCCTACTGCCTCTTTGCCTAAATTTGAGGCTGAGAAAAGAACTTCACTTCTTGGTCTGTAGACAGATATCTAATAATCCAGCTGAATCTTAATTTTGGAGAAACTACTGAACATATTTCCTTAGAACATCATCAGTTTAATCAACATTCCTTTAAATTGCCTGGGTTTAAACCTACAGACCTGAAAACTACATTATCTTCCTTGACTGCACCTGAGTAACTTACATTTCTCAATGCTTGTCATTTTTGACAGAGAGCTAGAAAATCTAGTGTTCTCATCTGGGTTTTGGTTTCGAACAAAATTAAAATGTGGGGTCAAGTTTTGCCCTAAACCTTATTCACATGCAATCAAGTCCAAGCTTCTGCATGGATTCAGCTTGGAGGAGCAAATGGTCTCCAGAAATCTGAACAGAATACAGTGGGTGAAAGACTACTCACATTAAAGCCAAGAAAATATTCCTGCACAACAGGAGCGCAGTGTACTCATAATATCATTCTGAATATAGAAAAAAACAATCTTGAATAATTTGGGTTTCCAGTTATTGGTGACTAACTAGAAATTAACAACACTATCAAAATGCCATTTGGTTTTCCATGAAAGATTGGTATATTTGGAAAAAAGATTTCTGTTTAATTTGGATTAAGGGTAATGACAGGATTGTGTTATTTACTAACTCAACTATTCAAAAGTGCTGTGTTTTTTAAGTATTCATAGAACCCCTTGATTATTACAAATTTTAGTTCAAAGGGTCGTGTATCAGAAAGTTCAAAGCCAAAAGTGTTTTACTTATAATTTTCCTGTTTATAAGCATCAGGCAATCAAAATGAAGAAACTTAATCCTATGCAATCTTTATGACCAATTATATAACCCGAGCACAGGTATGCAAACAAATGAAGAACAGAAAGCAAAAGCTAATAACGTGAACCAAATGTAATTGATTATTGAATAATTAACACTGATACCAACGATACCAAGAGACTCTCCTGCTCACTTGGTAATAGATTGTAAATTCTGTTTTGATTAGTGATGGGCTTGTCCCACATGATTTGGAGTGTTCTCAAGGTGAGCATGTTTGTCTTCAGAGTTTTATGATATGAAAACAAGAAATGCTTGCAAAATCTGCAATCTGATCCAATCTTGAGTTCAGATCACGTCTTCCAGAGGCTGTATGTGTTCAGACCTACAGATCAAGTTTTCAGCTGTGATTTATATGCAATTAGAAAGCGAAAAAAATGTTCTGTAAACTAGCTGCACGATGTTTCCCAACCCAGTTTGCAGGCTTTTAAGGGTAAATCCATTTCATCAATATAGCAAATCTCTTGAAAAGCTTTGCATTTTCAAAGGAGAAAAAAGAGTGTTGCTGTGTCACGGGCAGGATGTTGAGCACAGACGTTTTAGTGGCAATAGTGGTATACAACTCTCACCATATCTATTTAGTAGTTATGCTTAGGTAGCAATAAAAATGAAGGATGGATGATTATTGATTATGGGAGGAAGCCCAGACCGGTGTCTGAACAGTTAGCAGTCTGAACTATGTAGACTCCTGGACGCTCATCTGTGGTATCGAGTACAAGCTAAGAGTTTAATGGAAGGAGTTATTATAAATAACATCTCTTCTGCTTTTTCTCAGGCTGAATAAGTGCAGCCACCACAGTAAACCAGTATTATATCCCAACTAAAAATGCTGCTAAGATTATGCCTAGGTAAATATTGTGAGTTACCTCAGGTACCTTTCAAAGAATTCTTAGTTCATGCAGTTCCAGCTTATTTGGCATTAACAATAAAATTTAACATAAATAAAATGTTATGGGTCATTCTCATATCTCATTTTAATACAAAGTAATTGTCATTGAATTTGCATTCCATTCTTTCCCAAGTGCTCCCTATATCACTTTCC